CGTCACTTCCCTCATTCTCCGCAGCCTCCTCTGTCTCCTCGCGAAGTTCTTCCTCGCCGCCTCTTGCGCTCTGTCGTATCAGCCTCTCCGCGTTTCTCGCGAAGCCGCTGGCTCCTGTGAGGCGTCTGTTCGTGCCCCGCGCACCGCCACCTCTCCGTCCACGCTCGCTACCCCTTCGTCCGCGGCGACTGCCGCGTCCGACGCGGATTCCGCGCGTTACTCTTGCTGCCGCGACTCCCTCGCGCTCCGCTTGCGGCACCGCGGTCGTCTCGTCCTCGCCTCGTCGGCGCGCTGGCATCTGCTGCGCTACGGTCGGGAGTGATGGACCCGTCCGCAAGACGGGATCCGGAGCTTGAGCATTCCGCGGAGAGCGCGCCGCGGGAGCCTGCACCTGCCGAGCCTCGTCCGCGTCTTCTTGCGCATCCCTCCGCAAGCGAGCCCGTCCGCCGCTTCGAGCGGGTGCAGACTCTTCCCCATCAGCCAGCCGCGCGCCCCTCCTCCCCTGAGTATTCGTGGGCTCCGGCGCGTGTTGCGTCGAACCGTCCAGACGGTCAGCCGCCGCAGGTGCGCGGGCACTCGCCTCAGCGTCAGCCCCTACGGCAGCCGTCTCCTCGTCGCCCTTCTCCCGCGCGTCGCGAGCATTATCAGCGCAGGAAGGGGGATCAGCGCTCCCCTGAGTGTCCTCGCTCTCCTCGGCGCCCGTCCCCCCGTGGTCGAGCAGGCCCGCGCTCACCCCGAGCGCGATCCCCCGCTCAACAATCACCGCGGCGAGCTCCGGCGACGCGGGGGAGGGGGTCGCCTGGGCGTCGCTGGGAATCGGGTCGCCGCGAGCAGTCCCCTCCGCGTCCGAATTCGGGTGGTTCCGCTGGGCGGCGGGGCCGGCGGAATGGCGGAGGGCGCGGCTCATCTGGCCGCCAGCCGGATCCTGCTCTTGATCACGCTGCGAACACTTTCGTGGATGTGGTGCGGCAGGCCCGGGCGAGCGGGGGGCCGACTCACGTTCACATCGAGGTGACGAATGGACCTCCCTTTGCCGCGGATCCCGGCCAGGTGGCCCCCCTGCGCGCGCCGATGCTGGCCGAGTATCTGCCCGCGCGGGTGGGGAGACCCGAGTATCGCTCCCCTCGTCAGGTTCCAGGCTTCTCCGCTGGGCGCATGACTGTTGGCCGCGTTCCTGGCTGGTCGGCGTCGTTTCCGCGCGAAGAGCAGACCGCACCTCTCCCCAATCCCGCGGGGAGAGACCCCATGCTGACCATGTGCCGGATATTGAATCTGGCGGAGGCGAGCGAGGTGGTGGCGAGCTTGCAGCTGGCGGTGTGTGGGGCCACCCGGAACTTTCCGAGCAGTTTCGGTCCAGGATCCCGAGGATCCTGCGTGACTTTGGCAGAATCGCTCGAGTCGCCGTTGGCGCCCGTGTCGGAAGCGCCCGCCGGGGTAGCTCCCTTAGCCCGTACTTTCCCCCGCCACGTGGGGGATCTTGTAGGGGCTGCTCAGGCCGGGACCCCCCTGGACATGCTCCAGTCATCGGCGCATCTCCTTCTTGCGGTATCGGCGTGCATGCGCTCGATGCTTGAGATGGAGGGGGCGGAGCCGTACACGATGTAGGCCTCCGCCGCGTGTAGTATTGCATGCCGTTTTCTCTTGCCTAGGCTTTTCTCCCTTGAATCCTTTGCGTGCGTGTTCTTCCTGGTATAGCAATCCACCGACTTGTTCCTTGCCACCAGGAGCGCGCGGCCGAAGGCCGCGCTGGCGAGCGGCGGCGGCCGAAGGCCGCCGGCGCGAGCCGCTGGAAATGAACTCCACACGAAAATAATGAGGAGAAGGAGGGGGGAACAGCCCTTAAATAGCTCTGGAGGGCGGAGGGCAGAGGGATGAGGCAGAGGGCAGAGGGCTAAGGGGTTTCCTCTCTCTCTCTCTCGCTCTCTCCCGCTGGAAATGAACTCCACACGAAAATAATGAGGAGAAGGAGGGGGGAACAGCCCTTAAATAGCTCTGGAGGGCGGAGGGCAGAGGGATGAGGCAGAGGGCAGAGGGCTAAGGGGTTTCCTCTCTCTCTCTCTCGCTCTCTCCCGCTGGAAATGAACTCCACACGAAAATAATGAGGAGAAGGAGGGGGGAACAGCCCTTAAATAGCTCTGGAGGGCGGAGGGCAGAGGGATGAGGCAGAGGGCAGAGGGCTAAGGGGTTTCCTCGCTCTCTCTCTCTCTCTCTCTCTCTCTCTCTCTCTCTCTCTCTCTCTCTCTCTCTCTCTCTCTCTCTCTCTCTCTCTCTCTCTCTCTCTCTCTCTCGAATGGTCCTTGCATTTCTTTGGGGGGTGGTACAACGGAAGGTGCAAAACACACAAGCACAAGCTCAACAGAAAACCGGCATCGGGGGGGTTGGACTCGGGGCTGCGGAATTTTCATTGGCTGTTGCAGAGTCAATTTTTTCTTCTGGAGCGGCTCGATTTCCCCTCCTTGCTTGAATTCCCCCGCGGTTCGATTCCGAACTGAGGTTCGGCTTGCAGGTTCACCTCTGGCCTGCTGGTTTGGGAGCTCCGCTTCCCGCAGCAGCTCCAACTCTTCCTCGTCCTCCTCGGCCTCTGCTTCTAACATCCCCTCGCTTTCAGGGTTAAAGGCAGGGTCCCCCTCTTCACTTTCCTCATTCTCCGCTTCCTCCTCTGCTTCCTCGCTAAGTGGTTCCACGTCGCCCTCCGCGCCGTTTCGCATCAGCCTTTCCACATTCCTCGCGTAGCCGCTTGCACCAGATCGGCGCCTGTTCGAACCTCGTGCTCCACCACCTCTTCGTCCTCTCTCGTTGCCTCGTCGTCCGCGGCGGCTGCCGCGTCCTACGCGGATTCCCCGCGTTGCTCGTCCCACAGCAGCTCCCTCGTGCCCTGTCTGCGGCGCCGCGGCCGTCTCGTTTTCGCTTCGTCGCCGCACTGGCGTCGGCTGCGGTAAGATCGGGGGTGATGGACCCATCCGTGAGACGGGATCCGGAGCTGGAGGGTTCCGCGGAGAGCTCGCTACCGCAGCCTGCGCCTGCCGGGCCTCGTCCGCGTCTCCCTGCGCACCCCTCCGCGAGCGAGCCCGTGCACCACTTCGAGCGGGTTCAAACGCTTCCCCATCGTCCTGCCGCGCGCCCCGCCTCGCCAGAGTATTCGTGGGCGCCTGCTCGTGTTGCGTCGAACCGCCCGGACGGTCAGCCGCGGCAGGAGCGCGGGTGCTCGCCTCTGCGGCACCCTCAACAGCCGCCCTCTCCTCGCCGCCCTTCTCGTGAGCGTCGCGAGCACTATCAGCGCGGGGAGGGGGGTAAGCGTTCTCCTGCACGTCCTCGCTCCCCTCGCCGCCCATCCCCTCGTGGTCAGGCAGGCCAGCGCTCACCGCGAGCGAGATCCCCTGCGCAACGTTCTCCTCGGCGATCCCCGGCGACGCGGGGGAGGGGGTCGCCTGGTCGTCGCTGGGATTCGGGTCGCCGCGAGCAGTCCCCTCCGCGTCCACATTCGGCTGGTTCCGGGGGACGGCGGGGCTGGCGGAAGGGCGGAGGGCGAGGCGGGAATGGCAACCAGCCTGATCCAGCCCTCGATCATGCTGCGGACACGTTCGTGGAGGTGGTGAGGCAGGCCCGGGCGAGTGGGTCGCCGACTCACGTCCATATTGAGGTGACCAACGGTCCCCCCTTCGCCGCGGACCCAGGCCAGGTCGCTCCTCTGCGTGCGCCGACGCTGCGCGAGTATCAGCCCGCGCGTGAGGGGAGGGCTCAGTTCCGCACCCCCCGTCAGGTTCCCGGCTTCTCTGCGCCGCGCTTGGCTGTTGGCCGGACTCCTGGCTGGCCGGCGGCGTTTCCGCGCGAAGCGCAGACTGCACCTCTCTCCACTCGCGCGGGGAGAGACCCCATGCTGACCATGTGCCGGGTTCTGAATCTGGCGGAGGCGTGCGAGGTGGTGGCGAACTTGCAGCTGGCGGTGTGTGGGGCCACGAGGAGCTTTCCGAGCAGTTTTGGTCCAGGGACCCGAGGATCCTGCGTGACTTTGGCAGAATCACTCGAGTCGCCGTTGGCACCCGTGTCGGACGCGCCCGCCGGGGTAGCTCCCTTAGCCCGTACTTTCCCCCGCCACGTGGGGGATCTTGTAGGGGCTGCTCAAGCCGGGACCCCCTTGGACACGCTCCAGTCGTCGGCGCATCTCCTTCTTGCGTTGTCGGCGTGCATGCGCTCGATGCTTGAGGTGGAGGGGGCGGAGCCGTACACGATGTAGGCCTCCGCCGTGTGTAGAATTGCATGCCGCGCCTCTTGCTCCTGCCCAGCTCCTTGCCTTTGTGTGTGTGTGTGCCCTATATAAGCCGATCCTCCGTTTTGTGTCTTGCCAGCGCTGGCGAGCGGCGGCGGCCAAAGGCCGCCGGCGCGAGCCGCGGAAAACTGAGAACACACGAAATAATGAGGAGAAGAAGGCACCAAGGGCCCTTAAATAGGCTCAGAGGAAGAGGGCCGAGGGAAGAGGAAGAGGGCTGGGTGCTAAGTCCTCTCTCTCTCTCGCTCTCTCCAGCCGCGGAAAACTGAGAACACACGAAATAATGAGGAGAAGAAGGCACCAAGGGCCCTTAAATAGGCTCAGAGGAAGAGGGCCGAGGGAAGAGGAAGAGGGCTGGGTGCTAAGTCCTCTCTCTCTCTCTCTCTCTCTCTCTCTCTCTCTCTCTCTCTCTCTCTCTCTCTCTCTCTCTCTCTCTCTCTCTCTCTCTCTCTCTCTCCTGACCTCTCCTTCTCGCCCTTTCTTGACCACTCTCCAGCAGCCATTCTGATCCTTCATAGCGGTTCTCTATCTTCTCTGTGGGATCTTGCAGCTCTTGTGCATCTTACTGTCTGCATGCCGTCCTCTGCTGCCACTATATGTTCCTGTAGTGCTTTGATCTTCAAGAGCTCTCAAGAACGCCCCCTTTCTCTGTGCCTGTACCCCCTTTCTGTGCGGTTGCTTCTCCCTTTGCCCATGCCTAACCGTGTGACCGTGGCCTTGCTGTGTGTGGCAGGTGGAGTATGCGGGGACCCGCCAGGATGCATGCAAGGCAGTGCAGCGAGCAATAGAGGAGTTGCGGTGAGCCACCCTGCCCACACCACCTCAAGGCCCTTGAGTCAAGGGACACAGGGGAGAGGGGATTTCACGATACACACACAGACTTTTTCATCCACTCGCTTCACTGGCCTGGGTCTAGACATTCCAGCCAAACGTCTGTTTGGTATAGACGTTTCAGTTCCGCACACCTCAATGCACTCCGTTTCTTCCCAGTCTATGGCTACTATAGCATCTACCACTTGTCAAATCCATCCTGCGCACTCCCCCTGCCCCTCCCCCTTCCTCCGCCCGTTGTTGCCCCCCTGCCATCAGTGGGTCCCACCGTGGCCCACTAATAGCTCTGGTAGAGGATGCCACTCGCACTGGGGGAACACCACCTGGTGGCGAGGGGACATTGACAGCAGCAACAGGGGCAGCGACAGGGGCAGCGACAGGAACAGGGGGAGCGGGAGGGGCAGGGGCGAGTGGAGGGTTGGGGGGAGTGGCAGTGTTAGAGAGCATGCCATGCGTGGAAGTACCGGGCAATGCGGCTGACAGCCGCTTCCCGGTGAGTGAGCAGGAGCGAGATGAGGCTAGCTAGCCGCTTCCTCAATGCCTGGGTGGCTGTGTGAACTATGTGCGGGGAGGTGGGTGGGGAAGGGGATCGTTGCGCATGGAAGTACCAGGCAATGCACGCGTCGCTGCCTGGTTATTGAGAATTTTCACATGCCACCTGCTGTGGTGCAGTACAGCTGTGCTGCAACGCCTGTGGCGCGAGTGAGAGAGCTGATTGGTGCTCCCCTCTCTGCACCACGTGCCTGCTGTCAGCTGATCTGATATTACATGCATCCACATCCCCCCCGCACTTGCTTACCCCCTGCTGAACTTTCGGTGCTACTATCAGTCTGACTGCGGGTCCTGCCGCCCTTTTTCCCCCTGCCTTCTTCTCCCGCCTGCCTTCCCCCTCCCCCCTTGCGTTGCCCCCCCACCTCGAACCCCCTCTGCCCGGGTGTGCAGGCGCTGGGGTGGCAGGCAGCAGCGGGGCGAGTGGCGGTGCACCGATGTGCACAGGCGCCTGTGTGGCTGCACCAGCGCGTTGCCCTCGCCCGATATGCACACGTGAGCGGGGAGAGAAGCGGGAGAGGGGGGAACAGGGAGGGGGATAGGGCGGGAGGGTCAGTGCAAGTGGCTTTTGTCATGGTGACCTGTTCTCATCTGGTTTCATCTGTTTGCACCTTTTCTCACCTTTTTATCAACTGTTCCCACCTGTTCCCAGCTGTTCCCACCTGCTCCCACCTTTTCACACCGCTCTGCACCTGTTGTGGCCCATCAGATCCCCATAGGCAACATGAGCAAGGACTGGATCCTGCACACAGCAGATGTCTTCTTCGCCAGGGCATTGCGAGACAACAACCATGTCAGTCAGCACCACTCGCCTCACCACATGTTTGATTCACTTAGCTTGATTCTACCGCGCTGTTTTGTTTCTGCCTTTTCTCTGCCAAATTTGTTCGACCCTCCTCTCTCTCTTCTTGTGCCCCACTCCGGTTCCCGTCCCTTCACATTCCCACTCGCCCTGCTCGGCCGTGTTCTATTCTCTTCTCTCACCCCCTCACGATTCTATCACACCCCCCCCCCCCCCCCCCCCCCCGTCCCCCTTTCCCCTTGTGAATCTCCTCGTGCATTCACTTTCCTCCCATTTTGCTTGCCATATCTGCACCCCAACCCACTGCGCCGCACTCTCCTGCACTGTCACCTGCCTGCCCATTCTCTCCTGCCCCCTTATGGGCCTACAGCTGCTGTGGCTGTCCCACACGGGCATGCCGGACGTGGGAGGGGTGGCTGAGGAGGAGGCCATGAGCTTCCTGGATGAGGTCCGCAGGGGGACTTTTGTGGGTGGAGGAAGGGAGAGGGGAGGGGTGGAGGAAGGGAGGGGAGGGGGAGGAAGGGGAGGAGGGGGAAAAGGGGGGACATCTGTGCGTGCGCGCTTGCTTGTGCTCTGCCCTGCTTTGCACCTGCAGTAGTGTGCAAGTTTCTTTATATCTGAGTTTGTGTATGTGTGTGCATGTACGCCTGTGACCTGTCTGTGGATGTGGTCATGTGGGGATGCACATGTGCGACATGTGTGTCTCTGTGCGTGAGTGCGCCTGCCTGTCTGTGTGTGTGTCCTTGCACGTGTACAGGTGCAGCAACCGCAGGTGGTGGTTCCGGGTCACTACACAACAATAACTGTGGAGCTCAAGGTATGCTGCTCTGCACCACCCTCACCACAGCACCTTCCCTTCAACTAGCTCCCATTCCCGTTTCTCATTTCTCCCTTCCTCCTCCTCTCTACCTCTCCTCCTCCAATCCCCCTAGTTTCCCTCATTCCTCCCTCCCACCTGTGCCCCTGCCCTCCACTCTCCATCACCCCCATCATACAGATACAGCACCTGGCAGTGTGTGCGCTCATCAAGAGCACCATAATCAACGACATCGAAGGGGGTGCGCTCCTGGGCGCCTCACACCCCCACTCCCACCCACACCCCTCCTCTCAACCGAACGCCTCCTCGCACCCCAGATTCCTCTTCCAGACCCAATCCACCAGCACCCCAGCCAACGGCAGCAACCGCAGCGATCACCGAACAACAGAGTCAGCATCAGCAGCGGCAGCGGCAGCGGCAGCGGCAGAGGCAGTGAGGGAGGCGGAAGCAGAGCTGCAGGGCGTGCTGGGTGGGGTGCAGGGGGACGAAGGGGGGAGAGGGGGCTCAGGGGGTTCAGGGGCCTCAGGGGGGCATGTGATGGAGGACGAGGCGGCCATGTGTCGGTCGGCCTTCAAGGTGCTGCGCGGCATGGTGACGGCGTGGGTGACCGATGTGGTGCGCACGCAAAGCCTCTATGCTGACGCCCTGCTGCAGCACCTCTACCGCTGGATCTGCAGGTGCATGGCATGTGCGGGGTGGGGGGGGGTGATTGGGGGGGGGCGGGAGGGAGGCGGAAGAGTGAATGCATGTGAGGGGGGAAAGGGAAGAGAGGAGAGTGGGGGATGTAGAGGCGAGGGCATGTGGGCATGCACTGGTATGGGCATGGGGAGTTGGCCCATTGCCAGCCAGGCCATATTGCTGTGATTTTGCCTTGCCATGTCCTTCTCCAATTCTCTTGTTGTGTATCCCTCCTCCTTTTTGTCTACGTCCTCGCATATCCCTTCTCCTCTCCCCCTCTCTGTTACTCCCCAGCCCTTCATCCACTCTGCACGACCCTTTCCTGCACCGCCTGCTGCACAAGGTACGCCTCTGAGCCTCTCTCACAATGCTCTGTCGTTCTTCCCCAAACCACACCACACTGCTCTCGCTCCACCCCACATTGCGCCTGCCTGCCTGCCTGCCTTTTTGACAACCTCTGCTTGGTTCTCTGCCTCTCTGAACGCAACTTTTTCTCGCCTGTCGCTTGAATCGCCTCAAATGTGAGAGGCCTTTTCGGTTGCCTCCGAAGCAAGATGCCTCTTGAGGCGCCTCCCATCCCATCCCTGCCCCACCCAATCCCCCCCTGTGCCAGATCATGTGCAAGCTGTTTGCGCTGCTGCTGGCAGAGCTGCGGCGCCTGGGCGCCACAGTGATATACGCGGACTTCTCACGCGTCATTCTTGCCACGGGGCGGCGCTCCCTGCCCTCTGCCATGGCCTATATGGACTACCTTGTTGCCGCTGTCAACAGCAGGTGGGGGGTGGACGGATGGATGGGGAAGGGGTGAAGGGGTGGGAGGATGGAGGGTTTGAGGAGTGAAGTGATGGAGAAATCAAAGGGTGAGGGTGATGGGGAAGGGTTTGTTCAGATGGGCATACATGTAAGGTCGTGCACATGCAAACCTGTGCCCATCCAGTGCTCCCCGCGTCCCACTTGTCTTTGTCCTTCCCCGCGGGGACAGATCCAACGCAGAACCCTCAGAGACGCGTCTGAGATATTCCACTCCAATCTCTCCCCCTCCTATCCCTCCTCTCCCTCCCCATCTGCAACTCGCGCCACCCCGCCCTCAGAGACGCGTTTGAGCTGTTGCATGTGGAGAAGCAGCGGGTGTGGCACTCCCTGCTGTTCCTGGACAAGGCAAGTGCTGCATGTGGGCGTGGCAAGTGATGCTATGCGCGTCTGGCTGTCACTGCTGCATACATGCCCTATAGCATAGCGCAGCAGTGGTGGTGTTGCTGCCCTGTCACTGCCCTTTTGCTGTGGTGTTGCCAACTCCCTTTCTCCCCTCACCCACCCACCCCACCCCACCTTCCCCCTTTCTGCCCATCTGCGTCTCCTCTTGTTGTTCCTTCCCTTGCCAACCTTGAACCTCCACGACCAGTCACCCCAAGCCATGGCAACAATGCCAGCCTGACGCTCTACCCATTCTTTCTGCCATTGGCACCCCCCTTATGCCCCCCTCGCTTCCGCGTGCCCCGTTCCACAGTTCAACTTTGGCGGCATTGTCGATAGCTCTCAATTGGAGCAGCAGCAGCCGGAGGGAGAGGGAGAGAATGGGGAAGCTGCACGGCACACGAATGGCAATGGTGCTGCCACTGCTGATGCTAATGGTGGTGGTGGCGATGGTGGTGGTGATGGTGTTGGGAGTGGTGATGGTGCTGGGGCAGGGAAGCAGGCGGATGGGCGAGGAGGAGAGGAGAGCAAGATGACCGTGCTGAGCCAATGGAACATTGCAGACTACCTCCCTTCATCTGTGCAGGTCAGTCACGGTGTTGCTCCTGTGCAGGCCACTACCAGTGCCCTGTGCCACTCAGTAAACATGCTTCTGCAGTGCCCTCCTCCCCACTGTCCCTCTCCGCTCCTCTCCTTTCGTCAGTCTATCAGTTACCTCTTATCTCCCCATGTTATCCGCACCTCTGCTTTTGCCTCTCACCCTCTCATTTCCCACTGATTCGCTTCCTCTCCTCCTTCCCTCCAATCCCCCCCACACCCTCCTCCGCCGTCTCTCCAGGAGCACTTCCGTCTGACAGTGACTTCATCTTCAACCCCTGGGTGGCGCCTCAAAAGTAGACTCCCCCTCCACCCCTTCCCCCCCCCCCCCCCCCCTCTTTCTCTCCCTCGCCAGGAGTACTTCCATCTGACGGTCTCTGACTTCATCTTCAACCCCTGGCTGGCCGCTCGTGAACGCCGCACAGAGAGAACCCTGCAGCGCAGAGCTGCTGCTGCCCTGGCTGCTCGAGCGAGGGGAGGGGAGAAGGAGAAAGGGAAGGCAGGGAAAGAGGGAGGAGGCGGGGATGTGGGAGATGTGGCGGAGGAGGGGAGGGTGGACGAGGAGGATGAAGAGGCAGAGCTGGCACGCAATGAGGTAGCTGACCGTGCTCTTTCCCCTTTCTCCTTCTCCTCCACCTCCTCCTCTCCACTCCTCCCTTTTCAAAGAAGGCAATCTGTAATTTTCCTCCTTGGTCCTCCCATTCTGCTCTCTCTTCTCCACTCCATCACGCTTGCTCACCTTGCCCTCCCCCTCCTTTCTGCACTTCCCACACTGTGTGCGCCACTGCAGGTGCAGAACCGCCTCACAGACAACCTCTTGCACCTTGTGCGGGCCTTGCAGGCAGAGGCGGAGAGAGGGGGGGAGGACGCGGAGGAGGAGGGGGAAGGGGGGGAGGAGCGCAGGATGGGGAAGTCAGGGAAAGGGAGGCAGAGGGGGAAGGCGCGGGGGGTGCTAGGGGCGACAGGGGGACGAGCTTTGGAGCTGGTGAAAGCAGTGTGCCATGTGCTGTCGCTCAGTGCACACGTGCAGCATGAAGTGCAGGTGGGTGGTTGGATCATGGATGGGTGAGCTGACAGGTGGGCGGACGGGTGGGTGGGTGGATGGGCGAGGCAGGTGGATGCTTGGGTGGGCGGATTGGTGGGTGGGTGGGTGGGTGGGTGGGTGCATAGGTGGGTGGGTGAATGGATCATGGGTGAATGGGGGTTGGTATATGTGTGTGTGCATTTCTTGGATGAGGAACCTGACCCTCTTGACTAACATCTCCCCCCTCACCCTCCCACCCTTCCGCCCTCCTTCCTTCCCTCCCTCCTTCCCGCTGCCCTTCTTGACTCCCTCCTTCCCTCCCTCCCTCTCTCCCTCCCGCCCTCTTTTTTTCCCTCCTGCCCTCCCTTGCGCCTCCCCTCTATTACTGTCTTGTTGCCTTCCTCTCCTTCCTGTGTTCTCGTCTCATCATCTCCTGCTCATTATTCAATACCATTCTATCAGGTGTTGCGGCGGCAGCTGCTGCGGGTGCTGAGAGTGCGTGAGTTTGCACCAGAAGCCATTTTCCGGGACCCATGTCGCTCATTCGTTCTACCAGGAGTCATATGCAGGTACCTCGTCTCTCCCGCCTTCTCCACTTCCCCAGATTCCATCAACCACTCCCCCTCTCACCCTCACCCATTTTTCCCTCTCCCTTTCTCCTCTTTTGCACCAACCATTTCCCTGGTATTTCAATCTCCTCGATTCTTTTTCTCTCCAGCACCACTTGTCTACTTTCCCAGTCCTCTAGGGACAATGCCCACCTTGTCTGCACAACTTCCCATCATCCTCCGAGCCGCTACCACTGCCCGACATTATCCATCTCCACTCCTCCACCCACCTGCATTACCCCTGTGAGTGCACAGCTACTGCAACGACTGCAGGGACCTGGACTTGTGTCGGGACCAGCTGCTGCAGGCGGGCGAGTGGCGCTGTGCCGTTCCGCACTGCCAGCACCCCTACGACCTGCTCTGGATTGAAAACGCTCTGCTCGAGGTGAGTGAAGCCAAGCCATGCTACACCCTGCTCTGTTGGTTTTCCTTTGCATCAAAGCCACGTACCGAATCCATGCGACCATCTCTCCATGCAATGGAATATATTTTTAAAAAATTCATGGTGGTCTTTTGTTCCGTGCACCCCATGTGGCGCCGGTTGTTGGTTGTTGGCCTGTGTAAGCAGGTGATGCGGCATCGTGTGAGGAGCTATCAGCTGCAGGACCTCGTGTGCAACAAGTGCCGACAGGTGCCTTTTCACCCCCGCACTGCACCGCCATGTTCTATCTGCCCTCTTTTGTTCCCTCCCGTTAGCAGTTGTTTCCCCATATGTCCACCTACATTTGTGCCGCATCGTTCTGCCTCTCATTCCCAACTTCTTATTCCGTTCACCTTCCAATTCTCCGCGCCCTTATTCTCTTCTGTATCCCCTCTTCTTCTCTCCCCCCATTTCCCCACTCACGCTCCTCATTCTCTCCAATTTCATCCCAATGGCTCACCACCCTGTGTCCCAACCCCCTCCCACCCACCTCAGGTGAAGTCTACCCGGGCAGCGCTGCACTGCACGTGTGCAGGCACGTTCCAGTGCTCGCAGCAGGCAGAGCAGCTGAGGGAGGGGCTGCTCGTGCTGCACTCAGTGGCCTCCACACACGGTTTCCCCTTGCTGCTCGAGTGCCTGCAGTGGCTGCTGCCTCTCTGCCGTGCCACAGGGGAGAAATGAGTGCCAGTAGAGTAGGACGTGGGAGGAGTGAGAGCAGTTGGATGAAGGAGGAAGTGACGGAGGGGGATGAGATGGACAGTCACGAGTGTGGCTGGGTGGGGAAGTTTGTCACATGGAATGGAAGGGAAGGATGATGGAAGGCGAAGGATGATCTGTGTCGGGAGGCCAATATGTTCATCCCACATTTTGAGGGCGAGCCATTCTTCTGCCATGCAAGGGTGTCCATTTCAGCGCCCCCTGCGAAGAGTGTGACTTCCATTTGTACAGAAAAAATCTGTTTGTATAGGCATCAGAATCTACAATACAGATTGTCTTTGTGTGCTGGACTATCAGGTCCCCGGAATACTTGTAACGCGTTGTTCCCAAGAAGAATGCGCCGTTTCTGCTGCAACCGCTTCAAAGCTCGCTCTTCAATTTGTGCAACTCTAGTTTTCCCCTAATCGATCTTGCTATGGGATCCACCAATAACTCTCTCTGGTCAGCACCGTATAGCAGCGCCCAGGGTAGTTCTGCGGTTGATGCGGCGGCGGAGGCGGAGTTTCGTGCTGCCATGCGGTTTATCCGAAAGGGGCCATCCGCCTCCCTGCAGTTCGTCGTAGATGAGAAGCGCGCTGAGCTGTATGCCTTAGAGGTCTGTTATCGGTTTTCGCCTTGTACTTTTCTCGCTTGTCGCCTTGCCTTCACTCCTTACCATTTTTTTCGTCGCCAGTGAAATTCGGGAACTGTCAGATCAATACGGCTCTGATTTCCCTCTTTTTTCAACTCTACCAGGTATCAGTGTTCCCATGCATCAAATTCATCCATATTTCCCATCCCTAACCTTCCATGCGCCGGAATTTTCTGGTCACTCTCCGCGCACCCATCACCACAGGCACAGGCAGTGCACGGCCCATGTTCTGAGGCGAGTGCAAACCCCCCCGTACTCGAGGACCCGTCTAGCAGGCGGCGGCGGGAGGCATGGGTAGCCCTGGGACAGATGCCGGCAGCAGAGGCTAAAAGGCAGCTGGCGGCGCTGCTCTCGCTGCTCATTCCCGACTGGCGCGATTGGGAGCCCAGCAGCATGGGTGAGGGAGGGGGGAATGGAAGGGAGGGGGCAGAAGGCTTGAGCAGAGAAACGGCGCAAGGACAGGGTTCCGGGCAAGACGAACTGAGTTCTCGGGACGAAGGATATGCCCCGGCGCAAGGAGGAGGGTTGGCTGATCAACTGCTGAGGAGGTTTGCTGCCCGCACCAACGTACCACTTAGAGCAATAAGAGCCCGACTGTGAAGGGCTTATGGGAGTAACCTACTACCACATGAACTAAGTTTCAGGACGAAGATAGCCCATGCCTTCAGATTTGCACTGGATTTTTCACCGGCAACTTCAGTGGAATCATAGGAATCTCAACCTTTTCAGAGTTTTGGGAGGGGGGGGGGGGGGGGGCTGTTACTCTAGTACATTGATGTGGCGCTGTCAACCTGCCTGAGAGTAACTGAGGCTACTCCACAAGTGTACAGGCCTGGCAACAGGCCCCCGTATAAGACCTATCTTTCAAAAATCGTGTTCAAGTCAGCGCTGGCTCACTGACAGGCCTTTGTTGTGTTGTGTTCTTGTTGTTCCTCCACATTTAGAGGCTCCTGTAAGCTGTGCTATATTTTATTCCACACAATTTACAACAGAGCTTAGGTACAACCAGGCCCTACGAAGTCAGACTTTTTTCTCTGATTTGCACAAAAAACTCTGATGTTTCAGATTTTTTTCTAGTGTACTCCGTTAAAATCAGACTTTTTTGGGCCCAAACTCTGTAATTTTCAGACTTTTTTAAGGCTAACTCTGAGAGTTTAGAGTTCTCTGAGAGTGTACTCTGATCATTCAGAGTACAAACGCGTCCTTGACTGGTGATTCGGACTTACGGGTCACAACATATTCGCAATGTCAACGCAAAATCGCCTTGACACGGCAAATCCGAGCCTTACAGCACAAGATTTTCGCCCAATCATAGCAAAATCGCCTTGACACAACAGATTTGCGCTGTCAGAGCACAACAATTTTCGACCAATCACAGAAAAGTCGCCCTGACATTGCAGATTCGCTCTTTCGCACCACAAGATTCGCCCTGACACATATATTCGCCCTGTCAGAGCATGTATTATCGGAAATCCCCTTAGTGTTGTGTGTTTCGGTAGCAGATGAATGAAACATTGATTACATTCCGATGAAACATTGAATACATTGTTTTTGAATGATCAGACTTTTTTTTTAGGACACTCTGAAATTTCAGCCTTTTTTTTATACCAACTCTGCGATTTTCAGACTAAAATTGTGTACTAGTCTGACGAATCAGACAGGCCAAAAACGAATATGAGGGCCTGGGTTCAACAAAGCAAGCATCAAGTATATGTCCTAATGCTCGAAAAATGGTATGTGAGTCGAACTACAGTAATGACCACGAAAAATAGCCTGAGGTTTACAGGCTCCCCTACCGCCATCGCCCGGATAGAAGACAGTGTTGTATAGCAGACATGGGTTGTCTATTATCCGGGTGTCTCTTACGTATAAACAGGCTAGCCTCATTATAAGACACCTATTTGTGTGTGCGAGTTAAGCCAGTGTAGGGGTTAGGGGCGATTGTTTAGTGAGGGGGTATCTTCAAAACGGTTCTTTGTCCATTTATAAGACTTATAAGACACCCTAAACCGTCCCAAATACAAGATAACCCAAGCATTTTGAATAGTGTACGAGATAAGACATATATGTCTTAGAGCGTGTTCTTACGCACCCCTATCAGGCTAACCCCTTATCAGGCTGGTGCATGCGAGCGATTTCGTTATTAACACCGCTTTCCAGACTTGAAAAATTACAATGTTGTTCGATGAATTGGTTAAGCGAAATCTTTGACACGTGCTGTTCAGTTACCGTTGTCAACCAATCGCGCGAAATCTTTCGAAGGTGCTGTTTCAGCGAGCCATGGTCAGTGAATCGCGCGAAATTCTTCACACATGCTGTTTTGTCGGGTATGAAACATACAAAGACTTTTCCGCCAAACACATGTTTCAATCGTCTGGAATTTGTCTGAACTCGGATTTTTTTTTCCTTTGCAACCTTTCGGGACCGTTGCGCAGTGCCACGTCACCCATCGCATTTTGTCGCGCACTTCACAAACGATCAAAACGTCTAATACAAACTGCGTTTAATCTGAAATTTCGGTGTTTGAGGCGAGTCTGACAAGGGGCTGGCCTGATAGGGGCCCGTAGGAACACGCTCTTATATCCGGGCGATGACGGTATTATGAGCCCCAATTTCCTGTCAAACTATAATGCTATTTGTGTTGTGTAGGCTGTAGTGGGGTAGCATATATGGGGTACAACCCAATTAGGGTTATACTTGTACTCAGTTTGATGTCAATGCAATCATTCCTGCTCGTTAATTTCTGACATGGTTTTAGAGCAATAGGTCCGTAGGAGCGTTTTTTTCAGGCCCACCATTACCTAGTGACTGACTCCGATTACCGCGTTACCCCACGCTCTGCCCTGCGCTGTGCCTATAGCGCGCCCTGCCCTACCCTGTCTTGCGTCACGCTGCCCCGCGCACGCCCTGCCCTGCCTTGCGTCGCGCTGCCCCGCGCACGCCCTGCCCTGCCCCGCGTCGCGCTGCCCCGCACGCGCCCTGCTCTACCCCGCGTCCTGCTGCAGCTCGCGCCCTGCTGCAGCCTGCACGTCGCGCCTTGCTGCCTTGCGCGTCGCGCCCTGCTGCCTTGCGCGTCGCACCCTGCTGCCTTGCGCGTCGCGCCCTACGTCTGCCCCGCGCGTCGCGACCTGCTGCAGCCAGCGCGTCGCGCCCTGCTGCCCCGCACGTCGCGCCCTGCTACATCCTGCGCGTCGCACCCTGCTGCAGCCCGCCGTCGCGCCCTGCTGCAGCCCGCGCGTTGCGCTCTGCTGCAGCCCGCGCGTCGCGCTCTGCTGCAGCCCGCGCATCGCACACTGCTGCCCCGCACGTCACGCCCTCCTGCAGCCCGCGCGTCGCGCTCTCCTGCAGCCCGTGCGCCGCGCCCTGCTGCCCGCGCGTTGCGCCCTGCTGCCCTGCACAGCGCGCGCCCTGCTGCCCGCGCCGCCCAGGCCGAGTCGCGCCGCCCAGCCCGAGCCGCCCTGCCCAACCCGATCCACCATGCTGCTGCTGCTGCTGGTGGTGGTGGAGGTACTGCTAGGAGTGGTGGAGGTGCTGCATCCTAGCCTCACCGAGCCGCTCTGCTGCTATTACTGCTGCTACTGCTGCTCGTGCTACTGCCTTCCCTCCGTACTGCCCTAATGGTCGCACGCCTCCTTACTTGGCCCGTTATGACTTCTCTTCGTGGTAGCGGTCGGAGCGGTGACGGCGGTGGTGACAGCAGCTGGAGTGGTGGCGGCGCCCGTCGTGGCAGTCGCGGTGGAGCTGTTCGGTGCGAAGTTTTTAGCTGATGCGGCATCCGCGCGAGACCCTTACGCCCCAGCAGCTTCGTGAGTGGTACGCTCAGAGTGGGGGGACTTGGAGTACTGTCCGCTGTCCGTACGTCATTCGCACAGGTGATCGGGCTGGTTAGACTTGCGGGACACTTGGTCATACACAGACTCACTGCTTCGCCTGTCTGAGCGACGCCTGGCGTGCAGTGTCTGGCGACGAGGCTGAGCTCCCCCGCTGGCTAGAGCTGCTTAGGAGCAAGGTGGATATCTTTGCTCTAGACGATGACACTATCCTCACTGCCATGTATGCTTTATCTATTAGTACTCAGGTTGACTGTTACTCGTGTGTGCCGACCGACCCTTGTATAGCGGCTGCTGCTTTAGGTGCTGGTGAGTCTGCTCTAGGTGCTGGTGACTCTGCTCTAGGTGCTAGTGAGTCTGCTCTCTCTGGTACTGCACTTGGTGAGGCCTTGCACACCTTCACGCTTGACTCAGGTGCTTCCCATTGCTTTTTTTGCGACAGCACCACAGTCACACCGCTAGCAGCACCGGTTGCAGTCTCTCTGGCTGATCCCTCTGGGGGACCGGTTCTTGCACGTTCCTTCCTTGTTCTCCCGTGTCCGGCGGTTACGTTTGGCTCACTGTCAGGTCTTCACCTCCCTTCGTTCTCTACAAACTTGGTGAGCAACGCCGTCCTTCAGAATGAATGGGTCAATACCTTTACTCCAAGGGGACAGCGTGTCGCGATCTGCACGTGTGTACGGACGGGCCGTCACCTGGCCACGTTCACCCGTCGGCCTGGGTCGAGCGTATACACACTAACTACTGCGCCTCCTCAGGTAGCTGCGTCTGCGTCCACGTCAGGTCAGCTAGCAGCCTCCTGCTCGTGTCGCGCCCTGTCGCACCAAACTCTCCTTTGGCACCACCGCCTTGGTCACCCCTCTCTGCCACTCCTCCGTGGCATGCACTCTCGCCTTCTTGTCTCTGGTCTTCCCAGGTCTCTGCCTCCCCTCCCACCCTCGCCTGCCCCTCCCTGCCTTCCCTGTGTCAAGGGGTGGTAGCGCGCCGCTCCTCACTCCTCGTTTCCCCTGACGACTTCTCCCCTGCAGACTCTCCACTTGGACGTGTGGGGCCCAGCCCGCGTCCAGGGACAAGGCCGCGAGCGATACTTTCTACTGGTTGTTGACGACTACTCGCGTTACACTACAGTCTTCCCCTTGCGCAGCAAGTGTGAGGTCTCTGATGTCTTGATCCCTTGGATCCGCGCTGTCCGTCTCCAGCTTCGCGAGCGGTTCGACACGGACCTTCCTGTCCTGCGTCTGCACTCTAACACAGGTGGTGAGTTTTCCTCCGACCTCTTGCGGGACTTTTGTCGTGGGGAGGGCATTCGCCAGACGTTCACGCTTCCGGCCTCTCCGCAGCAGAATGGGGTTGCTGAGCGCCGCATTGGCCTAGTCATGGAGGTTGCTCGTACCTCCATGATCCATGCGGCTGCTCCCCATTTTCTGTGGCCGTTTGCGGTCCGGTACGCTGCGCATCAGCTCAACCTCTGGCCCCGTGTCTCCTTGCCGTTGACCTCGCCGTCACTGCGTTGGTCAGGAGAGATAGGCGATGCGTCAGTGTTGCGGGTCTGGGGATCTCGTGCCTTTGTTTGCGATACCTCCGTGGACAAGCTCTTTGCCCGCGCCGTTCCTTGTGTCTTCCTTGGTTTTCCTCCTGACGTGCCCCACCCCACCTGGCTTTGTTCGCTGACAGTTTTACCACCCCAACTCGCGCCGTGTTCTGTCCTCTTAGGACGTCACGTTTGACCAGTTGGTTCCCTTTTACCGTCTCTTCCCCTACTGCACTGCC